TAAGCTCATCACAAAGTGAATCTGAGTAGAAGAGAGAAAGAAAGAAGAAATCAAGGTGGTGGAATACCTTGGATCTAGGATGTTGAGGAGGATGAGTGAGCTAGAAAGACCCTGGACTCTGCTGTCATACAGAAAGGATAGAAATAAAATTGGAAGGTAAAACAGAGGAGACGTTCTGGTGAAAGATGTTGAGCAAAGACCCCTAAAGAAAAGAGGTATGGGTGATAGCAAAATGGTGAGAGGAGAGGATATTGGACATTGAATCCACAGGTGGGTGACATGTACTGGTAAGGACAAAATTTGTACCAACGCTTCCAAAATGTCATTGTGCAAAGAGGTGCCCAGAGCTCTTTTCCAGATGCTTGACATGGATCAATGAGTCCAGTTGGGCAGAGCATGGGATTGTGCATTCCATCTTGCTCCTGGGGTAGTGCTAGCACTATTAGTCTAGAGATCTCCCACTGAAAGTCAATAATCTAACAGTAACATATAACCACTGAGAGAGATTTAAGAACACTGATCATAGAACCCTTTAGAATGAGAATCCTAAATTTTCTGGGGAAGATTTACTTTCCGTGTCAAATTTAGAACTGATACATTAGAAACAGTCTCCAAGTTATCCTATCGTGAAGCCAAAGTTGAAAACTTCTACAAAGAGGATAAAATTGTTTGTTGCAGATAGATCCAGACTAGGGGCAGGGCCAACAAGTAAGATGTCTCATCAGAAATTGTGCTGGATAAAATAACTATACCCAGAAACCTCTAGATGACTACAAAAAAAAAAAAAATGAAGATATCAGATGATACATGATGCCTGAGAAGAAAAGCAGGATTGATAAGAGAAAATAATCTGAAACAACAGTATAAAATACAGCCCTTACCCAAACCCAGGCTCAACTGTTTGACCCGCTAAGGAAACCAAGTCCCTTCCACTTGGGAAGACTTCAGAAGAAACACTGATGTCGAGGCATGAAGTTTAGATGGGGAAGAGAAAAAGTAGACATTGTAATAAGGTAGAATTCTAGAGGGTGCTGCTGCCTATCACAGCAGAAAAGCCCTGAACTAATACCGGGGTGAGATCTCAGAGCAGAAGCTGTGATGACAGGGCTACAGGAGTGCAGGGAGTGTGAAACTTTGTCAGAGCCTCCCTCTTCTTTTCTGTGGCATGTTCTGGTACTATTACCCACCATTTGTTGCAAGGGCGCTATGTAGGCCAGCACAGGAAAGTGCTCAAAGCAGAATTCTGTGGTCAAAACAATCATTAGGGGAGAGTGCGAGTGAACTTTCTCAAGTACAGGAGACATTCAGTTCAACAATGGCTCTTCTCAGGTCCTATGTGTTCCAACACTAATGGAAACACTGAAAGAATATGTGTCTGTATGTATAAAAACAAAACGATCATACACCAAAGAGTCAAGCCAGAATCTCAAAATCTTTTGTCTACTGTGCAAATGGAATTCTTTTTTTTCCATGTAATAAACTCTTCAAATAAACTAGAGATTTGTAATAAACCCTTTGTATCTCTTTATGCCAATTGTGATTAGGATAGCATCACTGTTGTTAAATAGTTATCAATCTACACAGAGGAACCAGAGGCAAGTCATGAACCTAAGGGTTGAATGTAAGTCATTCTTTAAGGAAGCTCCCCCCATCCCACCCCACCCCCAAAAAAATGAGCAGGGAAAACACAAGCCAAAAAAATGCAGACAAGGAGACTAAAAATTCAAACAAAATCTCAGAAGAAAGATTCCACATGATCTTATGGCATCAGAGAACTGCACCCCAGAACTCAGTTGATATTTATGAGTCTACATATATACAGAACAGTGACTGACAGGGATGTTGTGGGGAAGAATATGAACTCAAGACATATCCAAGGAAAAGAGAATCCATATGTCTGAGGCATGGCATTCAAGATTTCACCTTACACTGATCAAAATGGCTAAGATCAAAAACTCAAGTGACAACACATGCTGGAGAGATGTAGAGAAAGGGGAACCATCCTCCATTGCTGGTGGGAATGTAAACTTATACAACCACTTTGGAATCAATCTGGTGCTTTCTCAGACAATTAGGAATAGCGCTTCCTCAAGATCCAGCTATAACACTCCTAGGCATATACCCAAAATATGTTCAAGTACACAACAAGGACATTGCTTAACCATGTTCATAGCAGCTTTATTCATAATAGCCAGAATCTGGAAACAATCCAGATGTCCCTCATCTGAGGAATGGATACAGAAATTGTGGTAAAATTACACAATGGAATACTATTCAGCAATAAAAAACCAGGAAATCATGAAATTTTCAGGCAAATGGTGGGAACTACAAAAGATCATCCTGAGTGAGGTATCCCAGAAGCAGAAAGACACGCATGGTTTATAGTCATTTTAAATGGATATTAGACATACAATATAGGATAAACATACTAAAATCTGTACACCTAAAGAAGCTAATCGAGAAGGAGGACCCTGAGTAAGGTGATCAATCCTCACTCAGAAAGGCAAACATCAGAAGAGGGAGAAAACAGGGAACAGGACAGGAGCCTACCACAGAGCCTTTCAAAGACTCTACCCAGCAATGTATCAAAGCAGATGCTGAGACTCATAGCCAAACTCTGGGCAAAGTGCAGGGAAGCTTATGAAAAAAGGGGGATAGAAAGACCTGGAGAGGAGTTCCACAAGGAGAACAACAGAACCAAAAAATACAGGCACAGGGGTCTTTTCTAAGACTGATACTCCAATCAAGGACGATTCGTGGAGATAACCTGGATCCCCTGCACAAATGTAGCCCATGGCAGCTCTGTCTCCAAGTGGGTTCCCTAGTAAGAGGAACAGGGACTATCTCTGATATGAACTCAGTGGCTAGCTCTTTGATCACCTCCTTCCGAGGGGAAGCAGCCTTACCAGACTACAGAGGAAGACAAGGCAGCTAGTCCTGATGAAACCCGATAGGCTAGGGTCAGATGGAAGGGAAGGAGGACCTCCCCTGTCAGTGGACTTTGGGAGCAGCATGAGAGATGTGGGAGGGTGTGGTCAGGAGAGGACGAGGGAGGGGGCTATAGCTTGCATACAAAGTGAATAAACTGTAATCAATAAAAATAAATTAATTAGAAATAAAAATAAAAGATGAGACAGTATCTTAGTCAAATTTTCCATTGCTATGAAGAGATACCATGACTATGGCAACTCTTATAAAGGAAAACATATAACCGGGTGACTTACAGTTCAAAGGTTTAGTTCATTATCATCATGGTGGGAAGCATGGTGACATACAAGCAGACATGGTGCTGGAATTAGCCAATAGTTCTACATCTTGATCCACAGGCAGCAGGGGAGACAGTGAATGATCCACTAGGCCTGAGCTTGAGCTTTTGAGACCCCAAAGACCATCCCTAGCAAAATGCCTCCTCCAGTAAGTCCACACCTCAAACAAGGCCACACCTCCTATAATGACAGCCTCCTATGAACCTACGGGGCCCTTTTTATTTAAACCATCACAGACAGGTAACCAAGTCCAAGACTAGACCATGAAATAATAAAGCAACTATCAATATTATCAATTAGATATCTAATAGTAAATGTTTTAGGACCTTATATTCACACACATATAAATATATTGCAGCTAGCCACAGGCATCATGTATGGGCTGCATCTAACAACAAAACTCATATTTAAAAATCCAGTTTTAAATAGATCCCATTCTCTTTCTCCCTACCTTTGGTGCATATATCACAAATATTTAACTGCTTCCAAATTGACATGTTTGCAGATAATGGCTCTCATCTGTACCCCATCAACTTCTGTTTCTCAGAGTATGGTTGCCTGTTGGTTTTCCCTTTGAATGCTGGTTTTTCTTCTATGGATTTAAGAATTATATCTGACAGTCCCTCGCACTATAGACATAACTTAGATCTGTGCTGTGTCAAGTCCACTGTCAGATTTAGAGATTAATTTCTAAACTTCTTACAGTGCTGAAGAAGCACTTTAAGATTTTGAAAATGGCAACAGTACTGACTCCTTCCTACTAAAGGTTACCTGTGTCCACATTCACTGTAATGCAAAAGGAAAGTTTAACTGTAGTAAATATCACTCTTGTTTTCTTTTATGGAAAATCTGGCTCACAGGGAAACAGATCTTGCCAGAATAAAAAATAGTTTGCCCTCCAGAAAGACAGTTTGCATGAGACTATTTCTCTGCCATCATTTAGCAAGGACACCACCACTGTTGTTAAATCAATAGTATTCGCATAGCAAAACAATGCTTTGATAGTGTAGAATAGTCATGTCTTAGGCCAGATTCTACAAAAGCAAACTGTGAGCCAAAGATTTGAATACCAGAAGTATTCAAAAAGTGACTTGAGTGTGACTTATGGGCTATTTGGATTGTGTTGGGGTTGGTGGGGAGACTTCCCCATCCCCAGAATATTTTGGCTTATGCCCATCTCCAAATTTGTGTTTGGCTGCTTTTTAAGGTGTGTGCAGTTCCAGGAAAATTTAATCCATATGTTGCAGAGAAACTACAGGTAAATCATCTGAATGTTGCTTTATTAGAACTTCATGATGTCTGAAATGCCTTTTGAGCTTCTTTATGGCCTCACATTCTTTTCTGTAAAACAGCGGGTAAGTTGCCAAGAGTAAACAAATCAAATAGCAAAAGGTTTGGGTTCATTTTGAAATGCTCTGCCTGTTACTTTTGATTGGGTTCTCTCTTTGGCACTGCTCATTCTCCATTCCTGCCTGCGGGGCAAAGTGAAAACAATTTGAGCCTTGTATTTCCCACCTGGTTCATTGACATTTGAGAATAATGTAGTGCAGACAGAGTCAGCAGGTTTGGCAGGTGAGTGATACCCAATATGACCTCGGAAAGTTGCTTTCCTCTGCTTGGCAGCAGTTCAGAGCATGAAACAATGTTATAGACACTACAAACCCCAGGTCAGGACAAGCAGCCATGCAAGGGGCCCAGGTGGGGGCTTTATCAAATTTTCTTGTGCATCTTCAGGTGGAGTGGCTAAAGAATGAGGACATAATTGATCCTGTTGAAGATCGGAATTTTTATATTACTATCGATCACAACCTGATCATCAAGCAGGCCCGGCTCTCAGATACGGCAAATTATACTTGTGTTGCCAAAAACATTGTTGCCAAGAGGAAAAGCACCACAGCCACTGTCATCGTGTATGGTAAGAGAACTCTCAGGGTTTCTGTCCAGTACCTGTCAAGCTGTTTGTCCTCACTAATTAGCACTATTTTGCTTTCAAATATTCAGCTACCAATACTTTTAGACTCCCACTACTGTTCCTTCTATCCTCATGCATGGTCAGTAAGTTTAAGTATTTCCAGGAGGCTCTTAAGAGTGATGAAGCTTATTATCTGTTGAGCCTTGGAAGTTTCTAGAAACCTACCCAAGTGCCTGCTGTTTCTCAGAGGCCTCATTTCTCAGGGAGGACTAGTGCCAGCAAGACCTAACTGAGTTTTTGGGAGATAACAAAGGTCAAGACAGACCAACGACATTTCTCTGAATCTAGTCTCAGACCCAGGAGAACAGACACACAAGAAATATAAAAGCCAACATATTCCATCAACACACTTGGTGCCTACCTACACCGATAACTTGCTTTCTAGCCTCCATCCAGGGACTGCAGAGCTATAATAAAGACATCTGTGGTAAAGGGACTGTCATTCTCCCAGCATGGCCAAGGATTTACCACACTCTGGGCCCTCTCATTCTGCTCATCTCTTGAATCTATAGATTCTCTTCAAGTGTCTAGCGGGTGCACAGCCCATTTTGGTGTGGCTTCAATGCCCTTTCTTTCCTAGGCTGCCAGCATTCGAAGCTCCGCTAGCTGTTTCACAGTGTGACTCATCCCCCAGCTATGCTTTGAACTCTTTTGTACAGTAAGAGGTTACACTGTGCATTTACATAATTCTTGGAACATTGGATCTTCATTATATTGATTTTTGTCACAGAGGAAAATAAACCCCAAGTATTTAAGATGAGTTGTCCTCTTGAACAAGTATTTGAGGTGAAGTGTCCTGTAGGACAAGGAACCCAGGCTTCACTCTACTCAGAAAATAGTGAAGCTGTCCCTTCCTACTTGAGCAGTCTGCAGTATACCTGGATTCTGGTGGCCTGTGAAGGGAGGACTGTCTATAGGACTATCCTGGCAATCACTCCAGGAGATAAGACTAAGGTAACATGAGGTGCCAAAGAATGTGTCATTTCAGCTGTTTGACCATTTTAAGTTGAAGGCAATTCAATAAGAGCAGATCCAAAGAGATCACCCTGAGTTTCCTCCTTTGCCTTAAATACATGAAAAGTTGCCAGTACCCATACACTAAAAAGGACAGAAAATTCTCATCACTGAGGATAGAAAAGTTGAAAGCAGGAGAGTTCTGTAGAGATCTTATTCAACTAACTCTTAACTCTTAGTAACCTTTACCTATCTCACATTTCCTGGGACCACTTCCATACACACACTTAGTGCTCATGGCCAAGTCTTCATGATGTCCCTATGAGGTATAAACATGTTTGGGATCCACATGTGTGTTTTTTACTTGATCCATCCTATCAGTTTAAGTCTCATATCAAACTGAGAAGAAACCTGAAAATATAGAGATGAAGTGGTTTCCTAACCGGCAGGACATTGTGTGCTTGTGTACTGCCAAGATGAGGAGTCACAAAAGCAGAAACCATTGTGATATTCCAGTGGCTGCACAGAGTAATACTTGAAAACCACCGTTTTAATTACAGGACAAAAGCATTCTGTTTTATTTTATAATTCTCTGGTTACTCTGGGATTTAATTTACTAGTCCAGATGATGGCTAAGTTGAATTGTAAGGCATTGCATTTCTTAAATCACAAGAAATTGTTTTGTACTTTTTATCTGAATATAAACTGCCTGAAACACTTGAATAACAGCATTTAAAATGCAGAGAAGCAATGGGGACCAATCATAGTATGTGCCAATTGCAAATAACTAATGAAGCACACTATAAACAGACATATTCAATTTCATATAGATGAAAATCTCTTTCTAGATATAGCATGATTTCAATACCTGCAAATGTAATGAGTACATTGTTATTATAAAGGATAATATACAAATAACATCAATTTTAGACTAGAGCCAGGACCAAAGATGACGCAGCTACACCTTGATCAGTAACCATCTGGTTTTTGAACCTATAGTCTTAGAGTTTTTTTTTTTTTCTGTAAAATGAGGGGATGTTTCTAGTATCTGCAATAAATAATGAATGAATGTCTAAAGGTTTCTGATTTTTCACTTCACGTTGGAATATCAACAGACTGGTAATTGTAGCTGTAACTCATATTCTTAGCTTTCCATGTTAGTAAGCACCATACGTGACAACATCGTGACATTTATGATTTTAGAAAGCTGAGTCGGGAACTTGATTTGGGAGCTCCAGCTGAAACCCTACCTGTCAACTGTTTGTGCTTTTCATGGCTCTATAAAGTAAATTGCCCAAGGCTCATGGGTTGGGTTTCATAGTCCACAGAAATATATATATTATATATAACATAATATATTATATTTATATATAAATATATATATTTACTTTATATATGATATTATTATTTCTTCTGAATCTGTTTCATGTTTGTTTTTCTGTCACTTTTGGCTTATAAATATATACCTAATAGAGAAAATTTGGAAAACACAGAAAAGGTCACAGAAGAAAATGTCTTTAATCCTGTCATCTACAGATAGTGTTTTCAAAATTATTATGATACTATTAGTATTTTGTATGCCTAAATAGTACATTAAAATAAAACCTATACATGTTTTTATTTAATGTTCAATGTTAAACACTCGTGTTTTATTAAATAATTATCCTTCCATCATTTTAATGGTATGAAAATATAGAATTTAACATTTTCCTTTTTTACCATCGTAGATGCTTCTAATTATTTATTACTACTACATTTAAACATATGTTACAAAATACCTACACAGTCATATTTATTTTTTGATGAGTAAGTAGATTTCTAGAAAATATAATTTGTGGCAAATTATTTGCATGTATAAAGTCTATGTTGCTTCAGTCGGTCACCCTCTTCTTTACCCAGGAGACAGAAGTGTTTGCTCCACAGTGTCTTAGCTACAGGCAAATAATTCATGGTTAAAATTGCTTCATTGAAGACATTACATAAACATTACATACATTAGCAAAATAATTTGTTTAAAATAATGATATCTTTTCTATAGGGAGATGTCTAGAAATGAATAGTATGTGTAGGATGGGATTCTGCTTTAACAGTCATACATATACGGACCTTCCATCACATACCTTGATTATCCTTCTGCACGAGATGTCACATAGATACTGACCCTCCATCACATACTATGATTATCCTTCTGCACCGATGAGTATCCATTTCAAATGCACCAACCAATTGCCAGCTCAATCAGAGTGACAGTTTGTTGAAAACTTGAATACTATAAGATTTAATTCTGTAATTGGGTTCACATGTGGGTTTGTGTAACTGGATAAAATTCCTTGAAAAGCTGTGAAGTCTTCCAAAACTGAAGAAAAATAATTAATCGTTTGTTGTTTTTAAGGAGACAAAGTGATTTTATTTAGTTCCCATGCTTCAGCTCCCAGCCTTGGCATCAGGAAGTAAACATTTATAAATGAGAGATAAACTGTCAAATGTAAAATTTTTTGGAGTTTAATTAGGTAAGGGGATGTATTTTCTTTAAAAAAAAAAATATTCGCCAAGGAAAAAAGAACATAGTTTTATTTATTTTTATAAGTGTATTGCTCATGGAAAATAATTTTATATATCTGTGTTTAGATTCTTCAGCTACACAACAAATCTCTGAGTTGGTATCTGTGGCTTTCTAGCACTGAGATCTCTCTCTTTTATGGTAACATGAGGAATGACTCTGGTCTGTATGCTGTAGGTGGTTTGTGTGTGCTGGACATCCCCATGTGTTTAACCCACCTTCTCTGGTTTGTCTCCCTCAGTTAATGGTGGCTGGTCCACCTGGACAGAGTGGTCTGTGTGTAACAGCCGCTGTGGGCGAGGATATCAGAAACGCACTAGAACATGCACCAACCCAGCCCCACTCAACGGCGGGGCCTTCTGTGAGGGCCAGAGTGTGCAGAAAATTGCATGTACCACATTGTGCCCAGGTAAGCAAGCAATCCTCTCTTTCTAGCAGTCTTCCACTGTTCTGAAAATGTGCACTAGAACTAGATGTGAAAACCCAACCTTGACTGAAACATGTGATAAACATTTAAATCCATTCTACATTAAGCATTTACCTTGCTGAGATGTCAAAGCTTCCTCCAAAAGAGTTCTTAACTTTATCACCTAAACATGCAGCATGCTATATAAGAGAACCAAACACCCATTAATACAATCCTATGTTTCTCAGTGAAACTGCTAAAGACAGGTTTGCAATCCTTTAATTCAAATGATATGAATAGCATTGAAAACCACAAATGTTAGAAATAATGATCCTTGATCTTCAAAAAACCATGAAAATTAATAGGAGCTGAAATTTAGAAAATGTTTTTTGTTTGTTTTAACTGGAATAGTTGATATGTGGTGTCAGTTTCTGGGCAGTGGCAAATAAAACATTTGGAATGAATTAAAAGAAAGTCTAAGCTTTGTGACATATGAGATAATGGATTTGAAAAATACAACATAGCCAGCTCTTCATTATCTCTACATCTTGGTCATCTGTCTTATAAATTATTTGCAGTGGTTTCTATACCAAGATCGTGTCCCTCTGCCACTTGGAATCATCTTGTAGTATTTCATATTTCTATCAGCTCTTGACTCTAGGTAAATTTGGGTTAATAGTTAGGCAAATCCAAACCAAATCCAAGCCTATTAAAATACCTAGCCATATAACATATCCTGAAGTTAAGCTAAAATAGTTTCGAAGTAATCCATAAATACAGTGTTCTCAATAGTTAGGAATTCTGTTATCAAGGTCAGTGTTTGAATACACAGCTCCTTAGCTCTTTTTGCCTTGACCAATTTGTTACTGTTCACCCTTTGATAAAACATTCTTCAGAAGTGGGGAGAGAGAAACATGTAATCTACGGGTTATATTTTCAAATATTGATTCCAAGCATCAAAATGGCTTCCTGCACTGAACCGCTGAGGGCACTTATTTATGGAGCACATTTTGACTTGTAGGTAAGCTTAGAAGTTCGGGTTTTATCAAACAGTGTCCCTTATTTCTCCTGGGTTCTGACTCTTGTAATTCAGAGTCCATTGACTAATTTAAGCTGAAAGAACAATGTGTGTACACACACAGAGAGAACATGCGCACATGTACATATGTGCCAGTAATTTAGGTAACAGGCACCCATTGTTGTTTTACAGCAAAGCAAATATTGCTTTGGGTAACTGGAAGTTGATGTATGGCTGACTTGGTATTATGGAAACAGTAATGTGTTCCTTAATTTTGCACATAGGCATGTTTATATCCTAGTACACATTATGAATAGTATATTTACTCAGTAATAAGACATATTTGCCAAACACTGTAAGCTACTAAAATTTATATTGTTTTTTTTTCCTGTGTTCAGATTTGAGAGATTTAAAGGTTCAATAAATGATACTTGGCCTCGTTTTTTGTGGAATTTTAGGTAATCATAATCACTTATGTATTTCATGGAAAAACAAACTCTTTTAAACTTGGTTTAACATTTTAATATTATTTCTTTGTTATACTTAAAATGATTCACTTTGAAGTATGACAATTCACTCTATTTTTCAAATTAGCATCAAGTTGTATATTCTCAAGATAGAGATATCTCAGCTCATTATTACTGATCTTTATTACAAGTAATCCACCAAAATTAGAATGTAATTGGGTCAATTCTGAATAACCATATCACTGTTAAAATTGTGGATTTACTGAAATATTATTTCAGCATGAATAGAAATGTCTACACCATCAAATAGGAGTAGAATCATCAAATAAGCTACAACTAATATTGTCTTTACAGGAAGGAATAGCAAAGGTTTAAGCCAAATTAAGAGGCCTGGATGACAAAAAGAAAATATAAAGAGTATAGAAGTCAAGGGACAGGGGAGAGGGAGAAGAAAGAGAAAAGAGAATGAATGTGTTTCTTGACCATTACACATCCTTTGCTGCCAAATCTCATACATGTTTGCTTCCACTCTTTACATGACACTATAAAAGACAGAATCTTTAATAAAAAAAAAAGCCAAACCTTCTAATCATCAACACAATATCCAGACATCTCACTCATAATGGATAAAGCAGAGTGTAACGGCTTTCTTACGTAGCTCCTATTTCTCAGTATGCCTTCTGTGACCCATTGGATGGGAGGAAGTGCACAGAACTCCCACAGACGGAACATGACTCATTCACTAGAGGCTAAAGAGGATGTCAGGTTCCCACTCATGTACGTTCGTCCGTTCTTATTAGTATGTTGGACTTGAGCCGTGCTTCTTTTACCCTTTAAGTACCTGCCTTCTGACCTCATGCTGGCTTTTCTCATTGCAGTGGATGGCAGGTGGACCTCTTGGAGTAAATGGTCGACCTGTGGAACTGAATGCACCCATTGGCGCAGGAGGGAGTGTACAGCACCAGCCCCCAAGAATGGAGGCAAAGACTGTGATGGCCTGGTCCTGCAATCCAAGAACTGCACTGATGGGCTATGCATGCAGGGTAAGTCAAAGTTAAGAAATGCAGGCACCTGTGCAGATGTAATCCATGACAGTTGAGTGTCTAAGTGGGTTACATAGTAATGGGAAGAGGGACTGCCTCTGATACAGTCTGATAGGCCTGGTCTTTGATCACCTCCCCCTGAAGGGAGAGCAGTCTTACCAGGCCACAGAAGATGACAATGCAGCCACTCCGGATGTGATCTGATAGACTAAGATCAGATGGAAGGAGAGGAGGACCTACCCTATCAGTGGACTTGGGGAGGGGCATGCATGAAGAAGGGGGAGGGAGGGTGGGATCGGGAGGGGAGGAGGGAGGAGATACAAAGTGTAAAAAAGTAATAAAGAAAAAAAATGCTCACACCTCTTCAAAAAAAAAAAAAAGGAAATGCAGGCACCAAGGGGGCTGAGATCATGCCATTTGGATATCTTGAAGAAATATTAGTAGTAACTGAGAAGGTTAAATAACAATAAAATTGTAGTGGTACAGCTCAGCCCCAGCTTTCTTTCATAACTGGTAAAAGCCAATCTCTCAGGAACTAGAACGAATAATAAATGACTAAATTAACAATGTGACATATAGTGTTGCTTTCACCCAAGCAAGAAACAATTCACCCACAGCCAGGGAGGGGTGGTCAATCTTTCTAGACCAGAGAACCGTTAAACTCAGTTTTATTACCTTTAATGTAAGGGTACCTTAAACTTCTCATAGAATCAAAGCATGTCTTCCAACAAGTGAGCTATTTATTTGTAATTCATGCCTGGCAATGAACCAGCATCATGAAATATAAAATATACAAGGACAATAAATGTTTCTGCAGGTAGTTTTACGAATGTACAAAAAATCTTTAGTAAGAATATCTTCACAACCACTTGAAAGTGCAGAGTCTCTGCTAGAAATTATATCATGGGTACAATTTTGATTATTCGAGGAGAATTTTATTTATAAAACAACTTTTAATGAGTGTAGAAGTTGGCTCATGTGATATGCTGGATGGAGTGGGCTCTACTCTCTTCTTTTCATGTCTTATGCATAGAATTTTTTCAGTGAAAAGGGTAGCTTGCCTTGAATACTTGCAAACACCCAACCATGTGTTGAAGAGCGCTTAGATGTTCAGAATTTATCATCTCTTTTCCTGACCATGAAAAAAAGTGCATAGAATTGTTCAGGCAAATGGATTAAACCATGTGCTGTTGTGAATCTGAACTAATGGTAGCCAAATGTTGACATTCCTCCTACACAGTGCATATGTAATGAGACGCATTCACAGAGGAGTATTTGTGTTTGTTATTTAAGGACAAGTATTTTGTTTTCATATTTATGCAACTTTGTTTACTTTTCAGAGTCTATATACAGAAAGATCTTTAAAAACACATCTTACTTAAAGTACAAATACCTAATCATGTTGCTCACATTGAATGAAAATCCAGGAGCCCCTCAATTTGTTCTACAGACATTGCCATATTGCTAAGCTTCTGATGGTTGAAGACAGCTACCACATACCACACTATTCATGCCATAAACACACAAAAAAAAAAAAAAATAAATGGAAGACAGCCGTTTCATTAATTGTTTGTCTAGAGATACCTGCTTCATCTCCAAGCATAAATTTTGATTGAGGACCAAAAACAACATCATGAATATAACAGTTGGTTGTGTTTTTTTTTAATTTTATCTTTAGTGTGAAACAAACTGATTGATGTAATTGCGAAGTATAAATATCTAGAGAGTTGTGAGGGATTGTAATCCTAGCTGAACATAATAACTCAACAGAGTAGTACAATATCTCATGCTTCTACTCCATGTATTTAAAATTCTGGGCAACATTGTTGACAATGAATACAGTATAACATTGAACCTTTGTTATACGGAATACTTACTAAGCTTTAACTTTGTCAAACACAAGACATTCAAACTAAAACCTCATGACCAGCAAGCAGTTCCTCAATATCTAGATCATTTCTCATAGCCATAATGTGAATTTTCCTCATGATTGGATATTTGCCAGCAACAATGGCTTTCAGCGTGCTTCTAACTATGAAAGATGATTTTGGCAACAAGTGATGGTGGTTTTGGTTTGTTTATTTTATTATTTTATTTTATTTTATTTTGCTTTTGTAAAATCAAGTCTCTTGTTGAACAAAATCATTTTAGAGTTTGGATTGAAGTCATTCAAGTAAAAAGCCGTAGTTTCTTGCTGTCGTGATTTCCTATGTTAGCAGTTCCTACCAAGTCAATAAACTCTCTCATCTGGCCTCATAGATCTACTTTGGTCGAGCAGAGAATTGTAGTCTATTCCACTATTGATTTCCTAGAGGATAGACCAACGACAGAGATATTGCCTCGCTATATAATTACAGTTTTTTACAGTGTTTACCTCTCAGCTTAGATTTTCTGGTGAAGTATTGCTGCCAAAGTTTTGCAAAGAAATAATATTACCTTTGGTTAAAAAACAAAAGCCTTTTCAATGAGAAAACTATAAAGCTTGGAAGAGAGACAATGTCCATGGAAAGAAAAGGGAATGGACTAGAACAGAAACCCACAGAGTTGTAATTGCCAATGAGGAATTTATCACCTAATATGCATTTGCTTTGGAGTAATTCCTATCTTGAATGTGTTCAGTTATTTAGTAACACAATAACGTTATGTCAAAACAGAGATGGTCTACTCAATGTCAAACCAGGTATGAAATAAAATAATTGAATCTGCACAAAAATAATATAATTCTGTTATAAATATTGGTATAGTGCTGGGTTAAAATAAAAGTTTGGAGTTCCTCATGAACCTGAGTAGAATTCAAGAGTTCCCTGATACCACGGTACATTGTTTCTCAATAAACTAAATTGGCATTTAAAATGTGAAAGATGAGAGAAATGGAAAATGCTGCTGTCAATATTTAGTCATTATTTTCCTCAAAACAGCCAAACTCTGACACACATTTCTTCACCACCTAAATATGAGCACCTTTGGTTTAAAATGTGTAAGCATATTAGGGAAAAACGGTCACAGAGTTAACTATCATTATACACACACAGAAAGAGAGAGGGAAGGTAGAAGAGACAAAGGCAGAAAAAGAGACAGAGACAGACATGACATAAAGTAGGGAGGAAAATCTACAAGTGCCAGGAAAGCAGTTGCAAAGCAAAGGGACAAGTGGCTGTTTGAAAGAGGTAGAATGTACAAGAGCCAAAGTGGATAGGATTGGGGTCTTAGAATACATGGAATTTGGCTTGGGGTCAGAGGTTTTGTGAAAAAATTGGGCTGAAACTTGTAACAAGAACTCTGAATAAAACTGTAATTCATTAATTGTTGCCAAGCATAAAAAGCAACTGGAATATTTTTGCCCTCCATTTGAAGGAAACCACAGGAAAATCATGGTAGAAAAAAAGGAAAATGAAGTCTTCATTTAAATAAAGTCTGTAGTAAAACCACAATGCTCTACCCAGGTGTGGTGAGGAGCTCAAGATATTCTGCAGGGAGTGAAAACCAGAAATATGTGTAATTAGCATCCTTGGAGCAGCTTCTGAGGCAGCAGAGCAGACAGCAAGCTGCTATACAGGTTCCTTGTGCAATCTAAGTTCATTGGTCTATGACAAAGAAAGACCATTCCTGAAAAGTACGTGAAATACACGGTTTAAAGTCTCCCAAGTTCAAGTGTAAGGAAAAACTTAGAACAAAACAAGTTAGCATTGTAATAACAGGGACTCAGGACAATCTCAATTAAAATATATAACAAGTAAAAATATAAAGGCAACTCGATTTTACAGTGAAAGCATAGAATATTGTTATAAGGATGGGTACATTTGGGTGAATCAAATGGAATGGTGAAAAAAATTAAATACAATGGTTAAAATTTAAAGGTCCATGAAAGATTAATAATCAGATTAGATGTAGGTATAGATAAGAATGAAGAGAAAAATCAAGAGACTGGAAAACAGATCTAATAAAACTGAAAGAAACAAATGAAATTTAAAAAGTGGCTGTGCAGGGGCCTACCCTTTTCTGAGAAGTAGGGGAGAGAGAAAAGGGAGGAGTGAAAGGAAGAATGGGACTGAAGAGAGGAGGGAGGCAGCTATGATCGGGTCGTAAAGTAAATAAATAAATATTTTTTAAAGTAGGCTATGTGAACAATAGTACAATTGGCAGTTAACATGAGGAAATATGACATTTATTAATCAAGAAAGCAAAATTGAAAGAGATTGTCAGACAAATAAGAGACAAAGTATTCATTTGCTTCTCATAAAACTCACTTAAGTGAACAACAAAAAGTAAACTAAGAATTTATGTGATCAAAGAATAATTGAGGGCTAGCTAAAACTAAGGATAAACTAAATGATATTAATATGGAATGTGAGAAGCTATGAACTAAAGTAGGATTTCAAAATTCCATTTCTTATTCTGGAAAAAGATAGTAATGCTTTTCGCATTAAATTTTATTGACTCAAGTGATCAAGATATAATGCTAAGACTGTCTACAATCGTATGAATTGAGTTTATAAATTCAAGGTAAAAAACATTAAGGGTAAAAAGAAGAAAAAAGAAATACAAACCATAAGTAAGATCCAGAAATAACTGTATACATTCAATAACTACAATATAAATGATTTAAGCTCATCTTGTTCATAGAAATTTTAAACCTATAGAAATCCAGTTTTAAGCTTTTATGAGTTCAATACTTAAATTGTCCTGGAAAATATTAAAAATTAAGACAAAGAATTTTTACTATCTCTTTTAAATTGATGATTAATATCTTTAACTATCTGTTTTGATCATTCTTTATTTAGTTCCATTTCTCATTATGCCTAAGTACATATTAGTTATTGTTTTATTCGTACTTCCAATTTATAGAGTTAATTTGCTTGGGCTCTGTAGGTTTAAAATGTTTAATTTCCATTTGAAGTAATTTTCAGTTGTTTACCAAGCTACTGATGGTTTCATAAGAGGTCTTAGTGAAGAGACTATGTCTCAGATATTAAAGTTGACAACAGAGGAAGTCATTCAGT